CTTTTGACATAACATGATCTGTGTGATCCTACTTTTGACATGCCCCTGTGTGAGCCCACCTCAGACGAACATGACCTGTGTGATCCCACCTCAGACATAACTCTGTATGTCCCCACCTCAGGTGTGTCCGCGTGCCCACCTCGGAGACACCAACCACAGGTTGCAGGCATGGGGTACCTTATAGCCACTGAATTCCCCTTTCAGGTATGTCCGGGACCTGACCAGCAGCAAGGAGGGATGGGTGCCAGCCAGCAGTCTGTCCACCCTCCTGGGCAAATCCAGCTCGGCTCAGTGTCTGAGCAGCTCAGGTAAGACCTACTGTGCGCGCCAGCTGTGCCCCGAGCCTGCCAAGATCCTCAGCCCGGAGCCTGTTTAAAGGCAGAGGTTTCTAGGTGTGCAGAGGAAAGGGCCAGAGCCGAAGTCTGTCTCCACTGGTTTCCCGCAGACTCCAGCCCAGGGTCAGCCGTGCTGAGCACCTCCTCCAGCTGCAGCGAGGGCTGCCCCACCCCCTTCTCCGAGCTCCAGGGATAGTGGCCAGGCCTCTGGGGCAGGCGCTCGAGGCCACCGTGCAGTAGACCAGCATGCAGATCTCTAAGTTTTCTTTTGCTTGGGCTTGCTTAGTGTGGGAGGGGATGGTGCTCCGAGACATCTGGACAGGAGGACCGGATCCGCCGCGGGCTTCAGAGGACACTGGGGCCCTGGCACCACGACTCCATTGCATGTGCAGAAGCCAGGAGGCCACAGTCCACCACCAAAGCTACTTTCAAAACTCCAGAGTGGACAGAGGAGGGGCTATGGGTCAGGAGGACCCCTGTGCAGAAATGTGGGAGAGGCCCCTTCTCATGTTTGGGCAGCCAACAGACCCTGCTGTGCAGCCTCTCCAAGGTGTCCTGACCTCTCTGGTGCTCTCTATGGGAACATCATCCCGAGGAAGCACTTCTAACAGGAGTGGACAGTTTGCTACCAACAGCCTAGGAGGGGATCAAGGGACTCTTGTCTTTTATAAGTTTTTGATTTTTTTTTTTAAACAGGGATTAATCCCACGGCCATTTTTTTGTGGTACTCTGGCCTCAAATCTTTACCAAGAATCACTGTGTTTACATGAAATGACAATTTGATACTGTATTTGATATAAAACTATTTTTTGTTACTGGGGTTTACATCGAAGCATGTTGTTTATACAACTAAATGATTTCGGGGGCACTCTCACTGAGACCTGGCACTCCCTGGAACACACCAGTCCCAGATGAAGGAAGGCCCGGCAAGTCAGCGGACGTCTCCTCCACCAGAAACAGTCAGAAATCACTGAGAGTCTCACATCTGCATAGGTTTTGTTTTCACAAGAAATGTAAAGTATAATTTAAAATATTAACCTTCTTTTCTACAATAAGAGGGAGACTCTCCATTTTTTAAAAGAATGTCATTAAATTAGGATATTTTTATTATTTTTAAAGAAGATGTAAAAATCCATGCTGTCAGCCATCCTCAGCAACATGGGCACCGGCTGCCTCTCCATGTCAGGGCAGGCCCCGCTCCCCTCCCCCAGCTCACGGGGGACCTGCAGCCTTCATTCAAGTCACGGCAGAATTGCCATGAAAACCATTGTTTTTTTCCCTTTCTGTGTGTGTCTGAGAAACAAATTCTGTTCTTTGGAAACGTTCTGTGCCTGGTAGGGCCGATATTTTTATATGTATGTATGTATATATATATATATATATGTTCACGTGTGTACATATGGTCTGGGTATAAAGGATGTATTTATGGCCTCATGCCGCCGAACATCTGTCACTTTACGGTCCCTCCCTGTCTCCTCACCCCGCTGCCATGGGAGGCCACCGAGGCTCGTTCACCACTGTATGTCCAGGTAAAATGCCCTCCTCCCCCCACCCTATGGCTTGCAGAGCCATTACTGGCCACACCTTCAGAGAATGGTAACAAAATAAAAAAACGTACAAAGATTCTGTAGCATTTCTGGTGTATATGTTACGTGGGAAGAATCATGGAATGTAATCTGTCCAGCCTGTTTGAAAAATGCCACCCTCTTTTATGATCTCATCCTCATACAGACACTTCAAACTGTCACTTTTACCAGGCATGTGGCACGCCTTAATCCCAACACTGCAGATGCAGAGACAGAGGCATGTGGCTCTCTGAGTTTGAGGCCAGCCTGGTCTACATAGAGCGTTCCAGGCCAGTCAGAGTTACACAGTGAGACCCTGTCTCAAAAAACCAAACAATGTCACAGCTTCATTCATGGTTGCTTTTACTTTCTACTGCTGATACAAATGAACACTTAAAGTCAGAAGTCTTCATTGTACGGATGAAGTTTAGATACTGGCCAGCGACTCCTGCTGCCCCCCGCGTCGGCAAAGGCACTGGGTTCCCAGCACACCGGCACATGGTGATGGTCACGAATGCCCACATGGCAAGGGTGAGAAACGGGGCAGGAGGTGGCAGGATATAGAGGACGTGCAGGCACCAAGTGTGTTATGATGTCTGTTTTATTTTATCAGACAGTGATGATGTTAAAGTAGTCCCAGGATATAATTGCAAAAAAAAAAAAAAAAAAACGTGAAGGGGACCAGAGACGTGCAGCAGAGACGTTACAGAGTAATAATATCACACTCGATACTCTTCGCTGAAAAGTTAGAAAATGAAGGAGGTTTATTTATCTGTGAGAAAAGAAAGGTGGATACATGGGGAAAGAATGGCGAGCAGAAAACACAAAACTGTAATGAAGAGATGGATCCCGACATGTGTGACTCACAGTGTGACTCCTGTCCTGATGGATGTGTCGGGCAGCAAGCTCCAAGCAAGCTAGGCTTCAGAGAGCTGCTGGAGAAGACCCTGAACCATGTGTAAAATTTAAATTAATGACTGAAAATGAAAGCAAGAAGATTAGCCCGAATGAACACAGAAGAACTCTGACACAGCAATGCTAATAACAGAGATGAAATTCAGGGCGGTTTGAGTGTAAGGAACCAGGAGGTGATCACAAACTTGTACGCCAGTAGTAATGCCCGCAGTGCAGACAGCAAGCCTGGATGTTACTGTCATAGACACTGATGCCTGTCCATCAAACATGAAAATGACGCCGTGTTCAGCACACACACGACATACACAAGACAATGAAATAGGCCATTGGTAAAGGGTATTTGGAAGTCTGTAGCCATTACTCTGATGTCACCAAAACCGCTCCCTAGAGCTGAACAGATAGCTAAGCCTCAGCACATGAGGGCTGCCGCTGAATCGTGACTGGAATTGTACCCACCCTCAATCTACCATGACAAAGTTATAGAGTTACTCACTTGAGTAAGATAACAAATACAATCAGTAAAACTCAAAGTACAAAGAAGAAATTACTACCTTGAGGGAATAAAATAAAAACAAAAAAATCAAAACCTTGATCATTGAAAAACAGAAAAACTATAATTTATAGAAAAATCAAGAAGCTATTTAGGAGACAGTATGACAACATGTCAGTTTAACAAAACAACAGTAGCAGTGCATACACACACACACACACACACACACACACACACGCACACACACACACACACACACACACACACCATAGGGCCAATAACCTCCAAAGCCATGGGTTTTTGGTTTTGTCTGTTTTATTTTTTGGCCAGGTTTACAGTACCAGACAGGAATTCCTTCCCGTGGAGCCGGCCTCCAACCCAGATCAGAGAAGAGTAGGTCACCCCGTAACAGTCATGCCACTATTGCATAGGCTCATTTACCTGGCAGGTCACTGTCCTAACGTGCAGGGTCCACTGATGGGTGGAACAGCTGATGACTATTTCTCCTGGTGGGTACCTCCAGGACTGTGAAAACTAGCCAGCAAGGAGGAAGTTTCCAGGTCAGTTCCAGTTTGATTTTTCTATACGCTGCCAGCAAAGTATGGTGTATCTTCAGCAATCATCCAGTTACGATGGGCAACCAAGAACAATGGCCTGTGTTGGAAAAAAGACCCACATATTCTAATCAAGTAAATGTGTCCATATCGTTGAAGTATGGTGGGTGCAAAATCAGAAAAACGCTGCTCTAGTTTACCACGTTAAACTCAGTCATGTAAGTCAGCAGCTTCATAGATGTACAAAATTTTTATTGATCATTTCTTTATCGTGGTTATCAGACCAGGATATGCTTTAAGAAAAATTACCAGTTTTTAACCTGGTAAAGCATGTCTAACAATCTTTAAAGCAAAATCTCTCCATTTCTAGATGCCTTAAGAATCCTCATCCTGGCAGGAGTAGAAGAGAGAGGTGAGCAACAGCCTTTGCGGCACAGAGGACAGGCATGGGGGTGTCCCACTACTGGGATCATTTACTAGAAACACTAGGGAACGGCACAGAGGAAAGGGACATGGGTCATGTAACTGTCTGTAACTAGAAAACTCAGGAGCATTTTAGCATCACCCATTATTAGCAAAAGAGTCCTCAAGACTAACCCGCAAAGCAAGGCACAGGTCCAGAGGAAACAGAAGTGATACAGTTGTCATCGTTAGGATTCGGGGCAGCTCTCTAGCTCTTAAACTTCTAATTACTAACATCATCACCACTGGTCCACAACCTTCCCAGGGCATCTTTAAGCTCTGCTCTTACTTAGGATCACTCCTAAGACTCTTGTTCCTTGTGGAGTGAGGGAGTATCTGTATAGGGTCACGTATGTGCAGGTGGGTGAGTGTAGCATGCATAGGGATGGTACATAAGTGTGAAGATGGTGTGCAAGGGCACAAGTACATGTGCAAGTGTGAGCTGCATGACCCCGGCCTCCCCTGCAGGCCTTTACCAGGTCTTAGGGCCACACCCAGCATTCTGTCCTTTACAGCGTCATCACTGTGTTGGGCGTCCATCTGTCCCACCTCCGGTCTGTGCTTTGCCTGCCATAGGGTCCCTCTCTTCCTGGACAGCTGCTGGAGACATGCATGCCACCCTCCAGCCAGCCTCCCGCCACTTCCCGCCTATGCTCTCGCTTTCTCCACCCCCCTCCCCGCCCCGCTGTCCTTTGCCCCTCCCCTCCCCCGCAGCAGCATCTGGACAAGCCTCAGCAGGAAGCGACAGTCTCATCATGGTTCGGGCTCGGGCTCCTGGGCTGCTACTGTGTTGCTTTCTGCTCCAGCTTCAGGGACCCCTGGGAGCTGTAGGTATGGAAGTCCTGTCTGTCCGGGGAGGGTTACTCTGTGGACTGGGTGAGTGGAGAAGCCAAGCTGTTTGCAGCAGCGGCTGGGACATCAACAGGCACCCCCCCACAGGCGGCTCCATCTGATGTATGTCCCTGCCAAAAGCAAATAGTGTCTGGATGTTTACCACCAGGAGATAGGCTGTTCTTCATAGGGGGCGGGAGCTTTGGCAATTGTTTTTCAAAGACTTTTTTAGAAGTAGGGAGCTTTACCGTCCCCTATGGACAGTGAAGCCTGTGAAGTTGGACCCTGGGGGCCACTCAGTGCCCAGCTCTGGGGCCAGAGGTCCAACATGTCAGGACAGCCACAGGACATTGAGCTACGGGGCTTGCTCAGTCTTGGCCCTATGGTCATAGCCATAGTTCCTCGTTTAAATGCACACACACACACACACACACACACACACACACACACACACACACAGCTCTGAGGCCTCAGGGGAGAGAGTTTGAGAACACACGTGGAAAGTTGCAGGGCCTCACAAACAGGAAGAGAGGGTGCCACTAATGTTCCGATGCACAGTGACATGGGCGGTCCAGCTAGTACCGTCCCCTTGGAAATCTATGGCCAGTGGGGACTGCAGCGGATTGTTCTCCTGTGGAGCTGAGTGGTAGCAGGGCAGCGATGGCTTTCCCAGACGTCCCCAGCTTTCCCAGACACTCTGCAGCTGGGTGGGGACCTTGGGATCAGGTGCGCTTTGGAACCCTAGGAGGTTTATGGACGCAAACTTGCCTTCTCCTAAGGGCTCACCGTGAGCTCAGCCTGATCAAGCTGTCTGTGTCCGGTGGCTGGTGACAGATGGGTCTTCCTCTGCCTGGTGAAGGTCCTTGACTGGTTACGTTTGCCAGCATTCCCATCCTTCCTTTCCAAACCAGACCGAGTCTCTAGGAACACCACTTAGGAAAGACTCTCCAACTTGAGAAAGACACAGTGGTCCTCGGCCCTTCCTCTTCCCTCTCGCCGTCCCTTCCCAAGATGATGCATCTGACTTCCATTCTCGTCCTCCCAGAGGACCCTCCTTTTGGGTACACCAGCATCCTCCCAGTGACCAGAGCCACCCTTTTAGCCCCACCTAATGCCAATCCCTCCCAGCAAGGCCCATAGGGGTTTTCCTTCCTTAAATGTGCCACCTCTGCATAGGGAAGACCTGTGTCCCCATCTCCTTTACCCTCTTCTTGAATACACTGGCTGCTTTTGACTCTTCCCTAACTGTCTCTCTTCTTGTCTTCTCTCTTCCGACCCCAGGCAGACGCCTTCCCATGGCTGCCCCTCTCATGGACATCCCAGGCACACAGTTCATGTAGCGTAGTTGTCTTATGGGGACTTTTAGGGCCTCATCTGCATACTTGGTTTCCACTCCTGACTAATTTTAGGTTACTTAAAACCCTCATCCCCTCCCCCCACATTCATATCTGGGGTTCAGACCCCATGTCCATTGGGGTGTCCCAAAGAATCCTCAAATTCAGCATGTCCAAACTATCGTGGCAGCCTCCACCAAACCTTTGCTTTTCCGAAGCCAGGTGGGGAGCACTGGTCACCTAGTTTCTGTCAGGATCGCTGGCAGGCAGGGCTGTGTGGGGAAGGCTGGATCTGGTTCTGGGACCTAACGGAACATCTCCAATGTAGCAAATCACAGGCCCAGGAGGCCCAGTTGAGGCAGGTGTGACCATGGCACCCAGGGCTGGTGATATGTTCTCATAAGATCTGAAGCCCCAGGCCTGTATGACTTGAGGTTCCTGAATTGACTCGGAACACAGCACAGGGGACACAAATGTGGGAATGGACGAAGAATTTAAAGAGTGTTTGTGCACACGTTCTCCTGTGTACACAGAAGGGGGTTTCACAACGTGTGGTTTACTGCCTCCCTTTTGCTGGACGTCACGTCTTCAGCCTGTGTTCCCTGACAGCACAGGAGACTGGCAGCCCCAGACTATTCCCACCAATACATCACTTAGTGAGTTTTTGTATGCCCTCCAACTGTTTTCTCATTGTAAATCCCTGAAGGAGATAGTAAGCACGTCAAACCATGTGCATATGGTAAGTTTTCATTTCATCTAATGCATGTATCACCATACACTTCTATGTAAGCGGTGCTGTGTTATCTGTCACCAACCATCAGTGAAAACCCACCCAGTTTAAATTCAGCTGAGCCGGGAGCTGTCATTCTCTGTGGCCTGCAGCCCGTAGAAGAGGGTATGCCATTGAAGGAACCAACCTACGGCCTTCCATTCCTTGAGATGGATAGGAACTCTTTGGTTCCTACCCCAGAATAGAAAAAGATTAAAGTGGGTAGGTTGTTCAGTCACTGAGGGAGATGGATATGACTGTGTCCATCACTGAGAGATCTAGTGTGTGTGGTTTCCATGAGCTGACCCAGTGTGGTTTCCTTCACTCTCTGGGAGGATCCACTGTGGGTGTGGAGGATCCAGTAGTGGTGTGGAGAATCCAGTGCTGATGTGAAAAGTCCAGTGTGGGTGTAGAGGATCCAATGTGGGTGTGGAGGATCCAGTACTGGTGTGGAAGATCCAGTGTAGGTGTGGAGGATCCAGTGTGGGTGTAGAGGATCCAGTGTGGGTATGGAAGATCCAGTGTAGGTGTGGAGAATCCAGTGTGGGTATGGAGGATCCAGTGTGTGTGTGGAAGATCCAGTGTGTGTGTGGAAGATCCAGTGTGTGTGTGGAGGATCCAGTGCTGTTGGGGAGGATCCAGTGCTGGCAGGGAGGATTCAGTGCTGGCGGGGAGGATCCAGTGCTGGTGGGGAGGATCCAGTGCTGGTGGGGAGGATCCAGTGTGGGTGTAGAGGATCCAGTGTGGGTATGGAAGATCCAGTGTAGGTATGGAGGATCCAGTGTGGGTATGAAGGATCCAGTGCTGGTGGGGAGGATCCAGTGCTGGCAGGGAGGATCCAGTGCTGGCGTGGAGAATCCAGTGTGGGTGTAGAGGATCCAGTGTGGGTATGGAAGATCCAGTGTTGATATGATCCAGTGTGGGTGTGGAGGATCCAGTGCTGGCGGGGAGGATCCAGTGCTGGCAGGGAGGATCCAGTGCTGGTGGGGAGGATCCAGTGTGGGTATGGAAGATCCAGTGTTGATATGGAGGATCCAGTGTGGGTGTGGAGGATCCAGTGCTGGTGGGGAGGATCCAGTGTGGGTGTAGAGGATCCAGTGTGGGTATGGAAGATCCAGTGTGGGTATGGAGGATCCAGTGTGGATATGGAGGAGTATCCAGTGTGGGTGTGGAGGATCCAGTGTGGGTGTGGAGGATCCAGTGCTGGTGTGGAGGATCCAGTGCGGGTGTGGAGGATCCAGTGCGGGTGGCTTCTGAGCAGCTTGAGGAAAGCCGCCAGTATTGCATGGGACCTTCTGTTTCTCAGTTTTCATAACCCAGGAGGAAGCACACAGTGTCCTGCACAGGCAACGGCGTGCCAACTCCTTCATGGAGGAGCTTTGGCCAGGCTCCCTGGAGAGAGAGTGCCTTGAGGAGAAGTGCTCCTTTGAGGAGGCCCAGGAGATCTTCAAGAGCACCGAGAGGACAGTGAGTGCCCTCACCCCGGGTGCCGGCTCCTGGGTAGCACTGAGACTGGCAGGAAGTGAGCTGGGGATTGTGAGGGTCACACCTGTGTCTCTGAACCTGTCTCCCCATTTCTGTGGTAGTTGTCGCTCAGTACACATAGGAACCCTGAAACACACAGGCTTCTACTCTCAGCATACAAATTTTTACAACAACAACAACAAAAAACCTTCCTGAAGCACATCTGATATGTCTGTTTTCCTAAAGGAAAATCCCTTATTCCCTAGGGATCCAGGGCTGCCCCAGAAGTTGAAGTTGACCTGAGAAGGGAAGATTGCCCTCCCAGGAAGGGCTGGCCACACACGCACGCACGTGCACACACACGCACGTGCGCGCGCACACACACACACACACACACACACACACACACACACACACGCGCGCGCACACACACACACACACGCACACACGCGTGCACACACATGCACACACACGCACTCACGCACACACACGCACGCACGCACACACTCACGCACACGCGCGCACACACATGCACACACACTCACGCACACGCACACATGCACGTGCACACACATGTGCACACACACACTCATGCACATGCACACGCGTGCACACACACACACACACACACACACACACACACACTCCTCACTGCTGTCCCTGAAGCAGGCAGCTCCTCTGGAAACATGTGACAACACTGTGGCTTCCTCCACCACACTCGGCCATGTGCACAAATCTGTCTTCGCTTCTGATTTGATCTGTTTGTTTGTTTTAGTTTGTTGAGACAAAGTCTTGCTATGTAGCCCAGGCTGGCCTCCACCCTCCATCTCCCTGCCTCTGCCTCCCAATTCCTGGAATTACAAGTCTGTGCTACTCTGCCTGGCCCTGTGGTTTCATTTTGTGGACAAGGAATATTTAAACATTATTGAGTATTTCCCTTTAACATTTTCCTAGGATGGGTGTGTCGGGGAGACTGGGTTCATCCCATTTCCCTTTGTCCTCATCTCTGGAAAAGGTAGTCAGTCACAGTCACATCCCCAAGCTATGTGAGGGACCTGTTCATTCTCCGAGGGATTTTTTTCCCCTCACCAGCTTTGACTCAAATCACATCTCACACTCACAGAACATCTCTCTCACACACAAGAGTTCTCACATAGAGGACCTCACACTCACAGGAGACCTCATACTCACAGGCGGCCTCATACTCACAGGAGGCCTCACACTCAGAAGGCCTCACACAGGAAATTCACGCGTACAGGAGAATTTACACCCACAGAACACCTCATTCTCCCAGGATGCCTCACAACCTCAGAGGAGGCGTCACACAGGGTGAGACCCCTCATTCACAGACCAGCTCTTTCACAAATGTCCTCACACGCGTGGGACTCCTCACACAGGGAACCCGTAGGAGTTGCTTTTCTCACTGAAGGAAAGACGGGTTTATTTTGGTTCACGGTTCAGGAGGAAGTCCATCACAGCACGCAGGGAAGGCACGAGAGCAGGACAGGAGGCAGCCAGTCACCGTGCATCCAGTCAGGATGCAGGGAGCGATGGATGCTGGTGCTCGTCTACCTCACTTCTTCTTTATTCAATCCAGGGCTCCCCTGGGACGATGCCCCTGACACTTAGAGTTCCAGGCCACAGCTAGAGAAAGTCAGCTCAGGGCCAGAACTCAGGTGCTCTGGTCTTGGCTTTAGATATCTCTAGAAAAGGCGTAGAAAAAAAAAATCAACCTCGGATAAGGCCTCCTCATTTCCAAAAGAAACCTGTCTTCCCAAGCCCCTCACGGAGGCCCTGGTCAGGAGCCCCACCCCTAGCTCCCAAGGCCCCTCCATGGACGCTAACGGTACTCCTCATGAACGTGCCTCACACAGCTTTTTCTTCCCCCCTAGAAGCAGTTCTGGATTGTTTACACTGGTGAGTAGGGGAGAAGTTACCTGTGCCTCTCCCCCAGAGACCTTCTCTGCAGCCCACTAATGCTGACTCACCCACAGATGGGGACCAATGTGCCTCGAATCCGTGCCAGAACGGGGGCACCTGCGAGGACCACCTCCAGGCTTACATCTGCTTCTGCCTCCTAGACTTTGAGGGCCGGAACTGTGAGACGAGTGAGACCAGCTCCCTGCCTCAGTTTACAGATGGATGGAGTGGGGAGGGGGGGGGGCTGAGCGCCTGGTTCCAGGGTGTACAGCCCCATCAAGGAAGAGGGGGGATGTCCAATCCAGCCTCAGCCCCTGTGGGAAATCCATCTAGGAGACATTAAGTTCTCTTTTCAAACTGGGAGCCTTTGATTTATGAGTCTAAGATTTGGGGTCTCAGACTCGGTTTCCCTTTTGGCTCTCTGGGAATTCTGGCGGTCTGGAGAGAGCTGAGGGAGGGTCCCTGTGTCACTATCCAGATTCTGTCCCCACCAGGCAAGTCAGCCGGGTAAACACCATCCTCTGCCCGCGGGTTTGAAGGTATGAAGTCTTTCTTCAGCATTAAAACAGCAAATTATCGATCACTAGCATTCTGGCCCCAGCAGTCCGTCCCCTAGTGGGCCTCATAGACTCTCCTGGCTGCAGAAAGACACATGAGTATTTTGTTTCACCAAAATTGGAGAAGAGGCCTGAAGCAGGCTTCCAGGTGTGCTCTTCCGTGGCCTCGCACGGGCGCCCTCGATCCTTCTGGAATGGCATGTAAAGTACTAGGGAGTATCACCAACCTAGCAAGTCCTTATTTAACCCCGGCCCTCGGTGTGCAGTCATACAGATGTGCAAGCCCTGTCTCCAGCCCCTCCCGGAGCCCAAGGCCCACCCTCAACCATACCTTCAGCTAGCCATCTGTACGGCCCAAGGCCCCAGACGAGCAGCAGTATTCTGGTCGGAGAATCTCCCAAGGTTGCCTCTTGAGTCAGGGCAAAGGGCTCCTCTCTTCGGCCCAAGGGCTCCTTGTTGCCGAAGCAGGTTCTTGTTGTTGGATGCCTCCTGATCTCATCAGGAGGGAGAGAAGGGGTTCACTAAGAGTCCCTGGCCTGAGAGGCCTGTGCATCTCAGTGAGCACTGGTTGTGAGCCACAGGACAGGCCTCCATACTGACGCTCTGGGCTCACACGCTGAGCCAGCTTCTAATGCCCATGCGCTGCACAGCTGAACCGACCACGCCCCTCTTCTGTCTGGGCCAGTGGCCTATGCTGGAACCAAGGGCCTGGATGGCTCACGTGGTCTTGAAGGTTGGCCCTAGGATAGTTTCCCGCTTTGCCCCTTCCATGGGCCAGTCTCCCGTTCTGTTGAGAGCTTTCCCTGTCCCCGGGAAGCGTTTGCTTACCTTCAGAACCCTTCCCAGCATCTCCTTAGATTCTTGGAAGGGGAAGCCGCCACACCCTAGCCTAGCATCCTCCAAATGCCATCGAGGCCGCTGCCGCCGTCACCGTCAGGATTGCTCAGATGTGTGACTCCCAGCTCCAGGTCTCCTCCCTCCAGCTCAGTCCACAGGGCAGGTGACACCAAGTTCAGCCTCGGTCATCTGCAGCCACACACCGCCTCCCAAGGGGACAAAAGCAACCACCGTGGTGGCTGACCTGCCAACCTTGTAAAGGCCTCTCAGACTGTCTTCTCCCGTCCTCAGACAAGAATGAGCAGCTGATCTGTGCAAAGGAAAATGGTGGCTGTGACCAGTACTGCGCTGACCATCCGGGGACCAAGCGCACCTGCTCCTGTCACGAGGACTATGTGCTCCAGCCGGATGAGGTGTCCTGCAAACCGAAAGGTAACGGGCCCCAAGGGCTGGCGCTGTCTCACACGCCCAAGCGCCGGTCACCTTCGCTGGCCTGTGGCAAGTTATCAGCCCAAAGACTATAACAAGGCCAGACCCCTGCTAAGCCAGTGTCTGATAGACACTGAATGGCTGAGAGTTGGGAGATGGGGAGCTGAAGGGCACCCTGCCGGGGAGCGCTTAGCTTGAAACTCTGAGCCAGCATCCTGCACTGTCTCAAGTGCCCTAAATATCAAAGGCAGGCCAGGAGGGAAATGAGGGCCTTCATCTCCTCTAATGCCCAATTTGGACATCCCTGGGACACACCTGGGAGTCAGAGACACACCCGTCGAATGTGCTCACTGCTGCACCGAGAAGAGCGTGAGATGACTTGTCATGACAAACTACGTGCGTGTGGCTGGGGGACGTGTTGTGAGTGCACTGTCTGCAGAGGTCAGGGGGTGTCAGACCCCCTGAAGTTACCGTGTTACTGCTGGGAGCTGCCTGACATAGAGGCTGGGGACCGAATTCGGGTCCTCTGCAAGAGTGGTAGACGATGCTCTTAACTGCTGAGCCATCTCCCCAGCCTCAGCCCCAGATGCCTTCAAGTTCTCCATAACGAGACTATTGAAGGGAAACAAACGTTCTCCATAATGAGACTATTGAAGCTCTATTTCCAAAGGCCCCGGCTTCCCCGGGAGAGGATGGATTCAGCCTGGTCCATGAAACTGGCAGGTCAGCGGACCCCACAACTAAATCTTCTTTTTTACCCAAAGACTTTGCAGTAAGGGAGGAAGGATGAGCGAGGTCAAAACAGCGCATCCTTCTGTTCATTTTCACACAGACCATCACTTTCCAAACCCAAGTACTAGGTCTACCCGAGGAAGACCTGCCAGACTGCGGCCCTAGAAAGCAGGACCTCAGTTTTCCCTAAACCAATGTCTATCTCCTCTCCCAGAGACTGCAGTAGGCCTCCCTGCCCACCCAGAGGGAAGCACCCATCTGCTCTGCCCTGAGGCCTCCCACTGTCCCTAGCAGGGGCCCCCTGCTTCTGAACCTCTTCCCACAAGCACCTTCTCCTCGGCACACACCCCCTTCCTGTCTTCTGTTTCATACAGTTGAGTATCCGTGTGGAAAAATACCTGTTCTGGAAAAAAGAAATTCCAGCGGCCCCCAAGGCCGGATTGTGGGAGGCAAGGTGTGCCCCAAAGGGGAGTGTCCATGGCAGGTAAGGCCCTCGGTCCTGTGCAGACCCCGCTTCTCTAGCTCTGCCTCCCTGACTTCAGGGTTTGTACCCCCGGAGTGTGGAAGTTTTGAATTGGGTCATGTTTACACATAAGGAACATGGGCCTCCACCCCACCCACATCCCAAGGTGTACACACACACACGCACGCACGCACGCACGCACGCACGCACGCACGCACGCACGCTCGCTCGCTCGCTCGCACTCACGCACGTGCACATGCATGCTCAGGTGGGTCACGTGAGAACCTGCACACACACCCCATCATCTAGCATCCCCGTTGTCTACCAGAGCCACCAGATCCAGGGCTGCTCTAAATCCCCAGAGGCCCTGTTTGGCAGGCAGGAATCTTGTCAAGTCATCTGCTTCCTGGAGGCAAGGAGACCATAACAACAGTGTGACTTTCTGTGTCGTTGTGCCCCCGCCCAGGCTGTGTTGAAAAGCAGTGGGGCATTGCTGTGTGGGGCCATCCTATTGGACACCACATGGATAGTGTCTGCAGCGCACTGTTTTGATAACATCCCGAGCTGGAGGAACATCACGGTGGTGGTGGGTAGGTATGACCTGTCCCTGGGCATTTTCAAACTGACCATGGCTCAGGGGCTGAGGCTCCATGGCCCATCAGCCTCCCTGACCAGATGACATCTCCAAGGAGGGCCACATTGGAGCTGACCCACTTTGTCCTCTGGGCTCCTCCCCACCCCCCACTCAGGGAATAGGGGGAGGTTTGGGGTTGCTTTTTCCACCCTGCCCCTCTCATGAACCTGGGTCCATCCACTCCTCACTCCCCCTCAGTACCCAGGCCCCAGGTTCAGTGCACTCACAACCTTCCTTCCATAAATGCAGCGGGCCCTGGTGCTGGCTTTCCCTGGGACCCTGTAGAGGATACAAATTCTCCAGATACCAGAGGCTGGACTGGCCACAGCCCTGTCCATATGCTCTAGGCCAGAGGGCCAAGACAAGCAAGAATTCTGTGTGGGGATATGACCACACATGGTGGGATATGTACCATGAGAGGTACGGCTGGCTTCCCCTCAGGTGAGCATGACTTCAGTGAGAGGGACGGGACCGAGCAAGTACGACGGGTGGTCCAGGTCGTATTCCCTGACAAGTACGTCCGAGGCAAGATCGACCATGACATTGCCCTTCTCCGCCTCCACCCGCCTGTGACCTTCACTGACCACGTGGTGCCCCTGTGTCTGCCTGAAAGGGCCTTCTCTGAGATGACCCTGTCCAGAATCCGCTTCTCAAGGGTGAGTGGCTGGGGTAAGCTGCTGGACCGCGGCGCCACAGCCCTGGAGCTCATGGCTGTCGAAGTGCCCCGGATGATGACTCAGGACTGCCTGGAGCATGCCAAGCACAGTCCCGACACCCCCCAAATCACAGAGAACATGTTCTGCGCTGGCTACATGGACGGCACTAAGGATGCCTGCAAGGGAGACAGCGGCGGCCCCCACGCCACACACTACCGTGGCACGTGGTACCTGACTGGTGTGGTCAGCTGGGGGGAGGGCTGTGCAGCCGTCGGCCACATTGGGGTGTACACCAGGGTCTCCAGGTACACGGATTGGCTGATCAAGGTCATGAACTCCAAGCTCCAGGTTGGGATTCAGCGAGTCGAACTATTCTAGCTCCTTGGACAGCCCAGCCTTTCTGAAGGAGGAAATTGCTGCTGTGGGGATGCTGTTATATATCAAAACCTACTGACTCTCCTGCTATTCCTGGGGTGGGGAAGGAGAAAGAGGTAAAGAGAGGATCAAGAGTGAAGGGACGGTGGTGGCGCACGCCTTTAATCCCAGCACTCGGGAGGCAGAGCACTGTGAGTTTGAGGCCAGCCTGGGCTACCAAGTGAGCTCCAGGAAAGGCACAAAGCTACACAGAGAAACCCTGTCTCAAAAAAACAAACAAAAATAAATAAATAAATAAATAAAAACAAGAGCGAAGTAAAGAAAGCGATAGAGCGAAGGAGGCAGAGAGGGAGGTAAAGGGAAGAGGCCGAGAGAGAGGGAAACAGGAAGGGAAGCAGAGGGAAGAGTCTGAATTAGAGACTAACAAAGACACTCAGAGAGGCTGGGTAGCAGAGCCACAGGCAGGCAGCCCCAAGAGACAGGGTGGTCCTGAGGGAGACGAGGTCTAGCCTCTGCTACTGTCTCCCTGCAGCTCCCTCCCATCTGCCTGCGGTGCTACAGACAGTAGGTGTGTACACACGCATATGGAACACGTGTGTGCACAAGCATGCATGTGCATTCATGACACATACACCCTCTGCACCATTGTTCACTTTGACTTCTCCCTTTTTTGTGTGAGTACCCTGTCTCTGTTTCAATTAAATGAGAAACACCGTCTGAGCTTGTGGGGGTCATCCTTCCAGGCTTCACAGGGGAGAGTGTCCCTGAGGTAGTGTGCACACCTGCCATTCACTGCTTCCCACCTGACAGCGAATGACTGACCTTCTCAGCACACCTTGGGGATGCCTATTGTCCCCCTGGGTTGACCTTAACTCCCCGAGTGGAGCCTCTGATGCCCAGTCAGATGCACGTGGGCAGGGCTGTTCTTCCTGGGAAGAAAGAGAAGGTAGACTGATAGCCAAGGGGGAGCCTAAGGGACGGGGTTCGGTCAGTGCTTGCGGGCCCTCAGTCTCCCCGATCATCAGTAGGTAACACGGGTGTCCAGCTCACAGAGCTGTCTTGAGATGTCAAGAGCCCCTGAGAGGCCTTACTTGAGGTCTAGCTCTCTGAAGACTGACGCGATCAGTTTTGGGATGTGCTGATTCTCGAATCAGCACTTCCTTTCTGGAGTGGAGCCAGAGAGAGGGTAGGGTATAAAGGAAGGACCACACACACACATGCATGCATGCACGCACGCACGCACGCACGCACGTACGTACGCACTCACGCACACATCCTCCGTCAAACCAGCATTAGTTTTTGGCCCTAACCCCAGACCACAGGTCTGCTATGAGTACCTTGCCTCCTCACCCCTGATGCCACCACAGATTCAGTGTAGGCACCGTGACTTCCGCATAGGCATCACCAGGCAGGGCAGAGGTCAGACCCCAGATACCAGCTGACGCCACCAGAGCACCACACATCTTTTCTGAGCTCTATTACAGTCTGGCACAGCCCGATTAAGGCCAGTGACTTCCCTCCTGGTGAGATGCCAGCACCAGCCTCAACATCTGACATCCCTGGGTGTGTTTGTCAGGCACCCAGAGCGTGCCAAGGCCCTCTCGGCACTGGCAACCGTGATAAGCCAAACACCATTCCAGTATTCTCTGGCTACGTGCATGCAGCCACGGTCATGAGCTGTTGCCCAATCAGCCACCGTAGGCAGCACAGGCTCCATAGCCAGTCCAGTGGGCGTAAGGAGCCCCATTTCTGCCCGCTAATGTGCAGGTACCGTGTGCATACTCCCCAGCTCAAAAACGTCTTCACCAGATGAGGCTGCTAAGGAGGACTTGGTCAATGTGAGCTCCAGCAATCCCGCCCACTCGGAGAAAGTGGGGACAGGGCAAGTGCTGGATTTCAGAGAGTTTTGTTATCGCTGTTGCCGTTTTCCGGGCACTCCGAAGCATAGACTCTCAGTGGTACCTCCTGGTGACGGGCCGTGAGCTCAGAACCTCTGAGTCTGACATTACAAGAAAGATTTCTGGGCTCAGGGAAGCCCCGCCGCCGCCTGGCTTGTAGCCCCAGTTACGTGCAGACACGCTCCCAGCAGAGTCACATGGCCACAGCATGGGAGAGGAGCTGTTTCCACATTTACAGCTCTCTCTGGCCTCCTCCTTCAGAACTGAGGGAAAACGGCCGCCCCTTTGTAGAACCCACCCAAGGTGTGAGCCATGTGCTCTGCATAAGTGTCCGTGACCGTCAAAGCCCAGACCTCCCCTCACACATCCTGTACCTTCCAGGCCTACAGCAAGATTGGAAGTGGCAGGCCCAGCGGACAGTCACGCCCTCCCTGCACCCTCCCCCCAACCAACCCTGATGTGTGTGTGCCATGGGTCCCCGTGGACCATCCTGGATGTCACAACAGAGAGTGAACTTGTGCCAAGACACAGCAGTTCAGGGCTTGGGTCCCCAGTAGCCTAGACTATTTCTGTGACTAGATTGTGCAGCCCTTGTTCAAGGGACACACTTGTGCCTAGAGTTAGCTGGGGCCAGCCAGAGGACTGAGGGCTTGGATGCAAATGCCACATGTGCCCTGGTACCCAGGTTTTACCTCATCTCCATCTCAGCTTCTGTTTCTGAAAAAAAAAAATAATAATAATGAGAAAATGACACTTTGACCAGATGTGTAAGTACTAGCAGGGGATGGGGTGAGTATTAGAAACCCAGAAAATACCCATCAAATGGTATTGTCACTCTCTGTTGCACAAATCCTAAATGGTCTTATAGTAAAAACCCAGAGCCAGATGTTGGGGTCAATGCTGGAAGATCAGAGGAAACAAGCCACAGCCACTTCTCACCTCGCCAACTCCTCAGCTGAAAAGAGAAGATCCTGTCTCCACCAATCCTCAGACTGGATGTCTCTGAGTCCTCAGCTGAAAGGGTCTAATTCCTGTCTCCTCCAGACTTATATTCTTTTCTCTGCCCAGCCATATCTCTTCCTGCCTCAACCTTCCTAGTGCTGGGATTAAAGGTGTGTGACTCCCAAGTACTGGGATTAAAGGTGTGTGATCCCAAGTGCTGGAATTAAAGGAGTGTGCCACCACTGCCTGGCTGTTTCTCTTTTAAACTGAATTGATCTCATATAGTCCAGGGTGGCTTTGAACTCATAGAGATCCAGACGGATCTCTGCCTCCCAAGTGCTAGGATTAAAGGTGTGTGCCATTCCCAGAAGTATTAAAAAATATGATGTAACATTTTAATTCTAATGTCTTCCTCATTGACATGTACACTGTATGTAATGCTTGGTGTAGATATTGACATAGAGATCTTTAAACTGCATTGCAAATCTTCTTTTCTGTGTTATAATAATGTACATCTTTAAAGGCCCTGAGGCATGTTGCTGTAAATGTCCGATTATGAAAAACTGAAAGCTCAATTACAGATTCAGTGCCGGGGTCATTGTGCGCAGTTGTGGGTGGTGATGAGAACAACACGCTGTGTCATCCCCAGGATTTGCATGCCTTGCTCAAGCTCCTACATTGCTGGGTTCCTCATAGGACATACTTTTTAAAAATACCCTTTCTCAGAACGCAGAGTGCTGGTTAACTCATCCTACTTCTCGGCTTGGGCTACTGCTGCTTAAAACTGAACGCAGGCCCTTGGCTATACCCAACTAGTTTTGCTGGGAAAACAAAGCAGGAACCAGGCTGTCTTTACTCCCTATCTACTTCAAACAGAAGTTAGCGTGTTGATTAAAAGATAATTTTGCTGCCCCTCGAATATTTTGAATGCTACCTCCTATGAACTCAAGGGACATACAAATATAAATATGAAAAATGAATTTTATATCTAGAAAACACTAATAAAGAATGTTGTAATGGGAAAAAAAATAGAGGTGTGTGCCACCACTGCCTGACCTCTCTGGCTAACTCTGTGGCTGGCCCTGTCCTCTGAACTTTAGGCCAGCTTTATGTCTTAGATTACAAATAACCACCACAGCTCTCAGCACAAAACAGGCCTTTCCGGGCCGTTTGGGATAAGGATAGCCCGCCCTGAAAAGGCTGGAGTTGGTGACCACAGCTCCCAGTGCCCTGACCTCACTGCTGGCCTGGGCTCCAATCAGGAGGCTGAGATAAGCAGAAGGATCACAGCCACCGGGGGCCCAGGGTGAGTGAACCTTGCCCTGAGCCTGTCACAGCCGCTGCTGTCCTTGACCACACCATGGGGATCCTGCGGCTGCGGCGACTCAGCCTGCTCTGTGTGGTCCTGGCCAGCCTCCTGCTACCTGGAGGAAGTGGTGAGTGAGTGCTCCAGCTCTTCACACTGCAGAGCGGCCCAGGAGGAGGGCATGAGGGGGGGTAGTTGGGAGGGGGGGATGGTGGGTACACTGGCCCAGCCACGGGCTGGCCTCTGCGGGTATGGTTAGCGCCAGCGGCGACTGCTCACGCAGGGCACAAGTTGTGACGAGAGAAGGCGTCTGGAGCAAGGAGAAGGAAGGCAAAACAGAGACAGAGGGAAAGGAGGCAGCGATGAGGAGAGAGGGGAGGACAGAGATACACAGAGGAGATAAGGCCACCCAGGCACGGAAGAGACAGGAGACAGGGCCCCCAGGCTTGGAAGCTCAGCTGGGCCAGAGACTGCACGAGGCAAGGCTGTGCAAACAGGCAACAAGCAGCCCCCAGGCCTGCTCAAAAGAAGGGCTTGTTTTAGTTAACGCAAAGCAGTCTCCGATCACACGGAGCAGTCTCCGCTCACACCCGCTCACACGGAGCTGGCCTTGCACCAGGACAAGAATCAACCTCGGCAACACAGGGGCACTTCCCACACATTTGGTCCTTGTTGAGGGAAGCGTCACTGGCAAACCTGACCCCCGACAGGTCAATGCCTGCAAGTCGCTGCCAAGGTCGGCACCACAGAGACAAACCCATGTTTGAGGACAGCGATGTGCAGGGGCTGGGAAAATCGAAGGCCACAAGCAACAAAACACACCGCCACCACTGAGCAGCCCTGTGTCAGGACATTTGGCGTCTTCGGGGGTTCCCATGGAGCAGTGTTCACAACGTTACCATGTCTTAGCTTCATGCGGCCAACCTTGATTTTGCTCAAATCAGACCCTTTGGCTGCCAGCCGAGTGGGTCTGCATGACTGTCTAGAAGCTGAGGATAGCGTTCCAGCAAAGTCACTCATGGAGACTAAGGTTTGGTCAAAAGAGCAGGACCTGGAGGCCAGACCAGCTGCCTTCATTCACTGGACAGTGACTCAGCAGCGCCTATGGTTTCCAGGCCTAGGACCAGCCACGGGCAGGGAGGCCACATCTGTTCATAGGACCATATTCCCAGGGAGGGTGACAGCAGCCAATCAGGAGACACATAACATCAGAGGAGACAAGAAACAGAGCAAGGCAAGGGGGTCCCAGAGACATGGAGGCGGTCAGGGCGCTGGGCCTCCCGAGGGGGTCCTGTGATGGGGTGATCCACGTGGGCCGCTGGGCAATCAATCACTTTGGCGTCCCTGTGACCAAATGCCTGATACGGGCCGCTCGGGGAGAAAGGGTTCCTTTTGGTTCCTGGTTGCAGAGGTCTCAGTCAGTCATGGCAAGGAGGGTGTGACAGAGTGGATCAGCTCCCCCCGCAGCAGCCAGGAAGCAGAGAGAAGGGAGAAGGAGAGCATGTGGTCTGCTGGGCCTTCCTTTCTTCTCTTTTATTCTCTCTAGGCTCCCAGCCCATGTGGTGACACACCCA